CCCCCCCCCCCCCTCCCGCTCCAAGCCCCACCATTTGGTAGTTACCATCGGGGCTGAGTTTTCATCGTGGCAACGACGTTGGAAAACAAGCCGGTCGCTTCGTCAGGTCGACCACCATGTTGCCGCTTCTTTTTTCCTTTGGTTTTTGTTATGCGGTAACCTTTTGCTTGTCGAGTAGATCATGTTGTCGGGGTCGAGAACCCTCACTCCGCACCTAGGGGATGATCGCACCACGATGTGTTAAAATGGTCAAGCACCCTCGGGGCAGGTACACAGTGCTTTCGGCTGTCTCTGGAAGTGAATGTACCAGAAAACATAGTGCGTCATTTGCAGCTTCTATCCGTACGCAAGGAAGCACAAGATCCGAACACCTCAGCAAGATGCAGCGCACCCTTCATGCGACTCGCCGAATACCTCACGGCGCTTCGCCCTTGGTGATGTGAGAGCCTGGTCCGGTGAGAACCCGGTGTGCTCCGTCCTGGCTTTCTGGGGATACGAGGTCAATAGTCCGACGACCATACGGCATGTGTCGAGATTAGCCAAGTCATGAAGACAATCTACGAAAAATCAGGAAAGAAGCGGTACAAGTCGGGCTTGCACGAGCGTAGGCTGTCGCAGGAATGACCGGCGATCGGTCTCAATTGAGAGTCGAGGCTAATGGCCAAAGCAAAGCAAAAACGCACCCAGTACATCATTACCGACCGACCTGGAAGGGGCATGAGGCCTACGGTCGATATTCGGCGGCCCCATGCAGGGCACGGACGCACCTGACCTGGCTGGGGCTGACCAATATTTTCTGTTTATTGCTCTGCATGTAGGTCCGTTCTTGCAGATTCACTCGCGATTTTCACTCGCTGACACCGACGAGCGTTGATTGGTCAGCGTGACAGCACCATCAATGGCAGCAATCTAGCACGTAGTTCAAAGGAACACGTGGAGGCTGAAGATGCAGTGTTGCTCGTCTCGAGTTTCGAAGATGTGGGAGCACCAAGGAGGTCTACAGGCTACACCCGTGCTGTGGTCGAGGTCGAGAATACGACCGCCACGTTGTGGAAGAACCACGGCCAGTCATCATAAGGCTAACGCCACGCTGTGGTCAAAAAGGACGTATGGTCGAAAGACGACGGCCAGTGCTACAATCGGAAAACCCTTACATGAGCCCCGTGCACCATTGCCAGCACTGCACGCTGCCGGCTACCGATACATCACCTCCTCGAAAACTATAGCCAGTCATGGGAAAGCTTGTTCTGGTGCATAAAGAAAGCTGCGGGTCACCTCCTGAAAGACCACAGTCAACCACGGGGAGCTTCTGGTACAGGAAGTACACCTGTGCATCACTTCCTCCTCCTCTTCCTCCATCCCTCCTCCCTCCTCTGACAGATCCGCCTCTTCCGGTGGTCCCGTGCGCTGGAGCTCGCCGTCCAGCACAAGACCCACGTGGATACCGTGCTGGGGTATCGGCAGGCCTTCCTCAAGTCGTCGGGCAAGGAAGAGACCGACAAGAGGTTCTTGCAGTTCAATTCCGAGGTGGGACGATGGAGCTAGAGCATCGAGGAACCATGCACCTCCGATAATATGAGTCTCACAGACAAAAATGTACTTCGTATAGTTTTGCTATTTCCACAATCTATCCTTTACCAGTAACGGCCTTGATAGACGTGGATTTAAGAGCAAAAACAATGGCATGGACTAAGGGGCGTCAGGTACCCGCTACACGGACCCCGTTGCGAGGAACCCGGTGTTATTTGTTGTGAAGAGGGGCCACCTGACACAAGGTGATGATGACGGGGACGGCGAGACCGTGTTTTGGATGGTGGGGACAGTGAGACAGGTGTGGAGCCGGTTGTTGAGAAGGTCTGTTGTAGTAGTAGGGTGCAGGCGGAGGTTGTTGGGGTTGTAGGGTGCTCACCACTGCAAAGTTTTGGGTGCGCTCTTTGAAGCTGCCTTGACCGGACATCGGCCGTACGCATTTCACAAATCTACGATACGTCCGCCGTCAGCCATGCCAGGTATGTACAGAGTGTGCAGATTACTCACTCTGCGCGGCGGGTGGACGCTGCTGTAGCTCTTCAACTTTCACTCTGCAAGCTTGCCTTCGGCGACGAGAGACACGCACGCGCGTATCATATCAGCATCCACCCGCAACCAGAAATGGTCCCTGAATGACGAACAATATATAACCTCAGTCCTATCAAAACAGCTATCAGCGTAGCCACTCCGGGCGTACATTCTCCCCCCTACCTGTGAATCGCCTGTGCGCCTTACCTGGCTATGGTGGATATCCACGTCGATGGTATCTGGCCTAGGGGCGTCGATGGTCTAAATAAGTCCATGACTGTTTAACACTCCAAGCATACACGAATGGCACAACGACCGCCCTGTCATTCATTCGCCTATGACTGTACGGCCTACAAAGGTGGCCGTGGATTGGGAAGTGATCAGCGCCAAGAAGGAGAAGGAGCGGGAGGATGAGCACGCTAGGGCGGGTACCCGAAGAGGACCGTCGTCGGGCATGGACCGAGAAATGAAATGAAAATTTATACCAGTCAATTGCAATAGGTTGCACCAGAAAACCGCAAGAGGTATCACAGCTGGGGCAGAAACGCGGGTGGGTATGCCGGGGTAGCCGACGACGACGGGCATGGAACGGGAAATGGTATGAAAATGGCCTGAGACAAGAGCGCACAACAGTAGTAGAACGAATTATCTCCTGTGAAAGGTATCACAGCAGTAGAAACAAAGGTAGTGACCTATGAATTCATATATCCTGGTCCTGTGGATTGGTGGAGATGGGCTTCTGTTGATTCTGCACGGGAAAAAAAACGGAAAAGAAGCAGCGTCGGACTCGGAGTCAGAACCCATTTGGACGAGACAGAAAAATATTCGCGGTACCGTCACACGTCACTGTGTGTCACGTGTGGGCTGCGTTCGCTGTATTTCACAGAAATCAAGGCTGAGTCTCTTAAAAGATAGACGAAAGAGACGAAGAATGGGAATGGGAGTGATGGGTGCACGTCATATTATTGGTGGGGGTGGTAGTGATGGTGACGATGGTGATGGTGCTGGTGATTATGGAGGGTGTTGTTGATAGCGTCGTTCCCTCTAAACATTACGCTGGTCGGTGGCTTCACCAAAAACGTGGGCTGTTGCTCGTTGGAAACGTGGAAATATAATCTCGATCACTGACCATGTCGGATACCAATTATGTAAACGCTTCCTTTGCATTCCGGCCCGACCAGTGAGAGTGAATACGCATTACATAGATAGTCAGACATGCTGTGTAAATGTATTTTATGCACCACATGCGCCAGATTTTGAATGTGCGTCATCTACAGTACGGCTAGATGTAGAGGCTACCCAGACGTGACAGCCACCCCGCGACCCACAGGTTTTGCTTGAAAACTTTATTTTTTCTCGTGCACAACCTGCTTGGCCCCCTGACGATACAACGCTCATACACCATGTAGCTGCTCCATTACAATGTCCCACGGGACGTCCCACGTGAACTTCCAATAATATGAATGTAAGTTATACCCCCATACATGTTCGCGGAAACATTTATTTCTGGTTTCAACTAAGAGGTACTAGGGTGAAGCATCGCCCCCCCCGCCCCCGGTGGGCGGGGGGCCCATAAGGTGATAGATGTCGAGAAAGTCTGGTTCTCGCCGAGAACGGCCGACGTGCGCTGCGCGGAGATGGTCGATGAAGTCATACATTTACATACGTACTGTAGTTCGGGACCTCTCGACCATTTCATTGCGTGGGAACACAGAGCGATTACAATACAAAATAACACCGTGGCCCCCATGGTATTGAACCGAAAAAAGAAGTGTTGTGTGCATGAACTCCATTACTACCTACATACACCTTCACATGCATACGACGAGGGTAGACTAGACTATGTGGGCTATCTCTGGACATACATGCACAAACGAACAACCCACAAGGGAGCTCTGGACGAACACTCTGGAACTGCAACATACGGAAATCGAAAAATAGCGAGCCCGGTCTTTAAGTCGGGGCACCTGATCTATGTGCACGTGTAGTCATCAACTACAGCAGTAGTCTAGACCTCCATACTGAACGCATTTCGTGCGGTAGGATAAATCACGTATCTACAGACAAAAGTGATGAAGTTTTTCAGGGCGCGTGTACAAAGTACATGTAGCCGTCTTATGCAAGAAATAGTGTAACACAAAGTTTCCAGATTGGTGCGTTGGGCAGCGCACGACAGGGACCGCAATTCCCCCACTTTCATTGCGATGGATTGGGACACGCACCAGACTCGTACATTTCGTTCTCCCGGCTGACTTGTGGCTGTTCTGCTGCCGTCCGCGATTTCCCCGACATCCGTCGCGAGTCCTCCACTTTGTTTTATTGCACGACTTGTATGAATCCGACGTCCATCGTTCCTCTCTCTCTGAATCACTTCACGTACTGCAATGTCTCCGCCTGAACGCACAGCCGTCGCTCCTCCAATCTGTCGAAGGAGTCAAACTTGAACCCCCGGTTCGTGATCATGTCCCTAGCCGCACGGAGGCAGCGCTAAACCTCGCTACTCTAACTGCTCTACCAAGACTCTACGAAGTCAACGGTACGGAGTCAGGTGGACGTCGCATGAAACGACAACACCACAAGAGCAATTGCGCCGCTGTTTGCTCTCACGCCCAGCCGCGGCCCGGTGACCTCGTTTCTGTCATCGATGGTGACCCAACCTTGTCTCCACCGGTGTTCTGGCGCTCCCATTGTCCGCAATCTCCCTCTGCTGCCCGTTGTAGCCCACGTTACGCAGACGGGCACCCCTGGGTGAAGAAATGGGCAGCCTTGGGCGCCGTACCGTCCGCTCCTGCGGAGCGAGTCTCGACCCCCTCGCCGCCCCCATCCGTTCCCCCGTTGCCGTGTCGAGAGGTGTGACTACCATCCCTGCCTCCGGCGAAGACCTCCGCCTCCGCCTCCGCCTCGCCCCCCGCCGGTACCCGAGGTTGCGCTTCCGTCTTCCGCCGTGGCACCCGCGGGATCGCTTTTTTACGGCGATTTGAGCTGGTCCCCTCCCCTTAACGGGCTATAGTACACTGCCGTGCCGACGCCCGCCCCTGCCGATGAAGCGAGACGGCATCGTCGGCTCGACGGTGACCACCGGCGGAAAGTCCGCCATGCAGCTGGCGGCGCGACGCCGGTGGGTTCGAAGCTGCTATCGGCGTCGAACCACTTCGACGCGCGAACTTTTACGTTTTTGTTGATGAATGTCGCCGACCGCCGGGATTTGCTCACGTTGGTCCGATGCTCGCGCACCCTCTCCAGTCCAGATCTTCGAAATCGTCGTTTGCGCGCCTGCTGCTACGTCGCGCTGCAGCTGATGCTTATCCTTCAGTCCATCCCCCAGTCCGCGGAGAATGGTCACCTCGGTCTCGTCGGTGTCTGTCGACCGCGCTCGCGCGGCCGGTGCCCTTGACCTCGCTAGAGAACGTGACACGCTGCGAGTCGAGGTGCGTGCCGACGGACTCGCCACTGATCGCCCAAAAGCTCTCCTCCTACGTTGTGTTCGCCCTGTTTGTGTTGGTACTGCTTTGGACCCCCCGTAGGAACCCGTTTGTCGCGAACGATTCGCGCGTTCTCGCCTTAGCCACAAGGAACACCTGGACGTGAACCTGTGTTCATTGTGGGAAGCCTTCTTGACAACCAGCCACATTTTCTCACCATTGCCCCGGAAATGGCTATGAATTGTACCATGAAAACGAGCTAGAAGAGGTCATGGTTCTGAGAAATGTGTAGGGGACAGGTTCGCGGGGGATTGTACGTGCAGGTGAAAAGAAATCAACGCGCCTTTCGTTGTCACCAGCAGCTTCCGAACATCAAAGCCACCCGCCTGATTCTTTCCAGTTCGATGAGGGATACGTTACTGGAAGCAGCAGGCAACGGTAATGAGTGAATTGCTCAATACGACCCCCGTCCGACGGCGCACGTTCTTCATTACCAAACCGTCGTCGTCGTTACGCGACCGATAACAACGAGAATTGTTGTTTGAGGATTGGCACGGTTGCTAGAGGAAAGCTGCGTTGCTAATGCTCAAAAGCAGCCTCTGTCGAACCGCGCGCGCTCGGAGGGTGTCGTGCTGCATGTCTTGTTGAAGCGAGGGAACGGGTCTGTCTGGTAACACCCAGCCGCCAGGTATTTGCCTCTCCCCGCAGGATAGATGCAAACAGCCCCAAGCCGTGCAGCCGGATGTCAGCGACACACAAATACAAGATGGCAGCAGCGGTGTTCACGTGCAAGTTTTGCGGCGTGCGTTGCGAAGACCAACGACAACAGCTGTTTCTGGAGCAAGGTCACAGTTGCCTTCAGCCACGAAAAGGAAGGCTCTCTTGGATGGATTCATTTCATACACCTGCATTAGGACAGAGCTACCGACCCCTTACGCCGATGTACCACCCGTCCTGATGGTGCGGGAGAGTGAGACACTCATGACAACGCGAAACCCTCATCAGCAACCCTAACAGGCGGGACACTTGGACAAGAGAATGTAACAACGAAAAAGTCAGCAGAGAGCACGTCTCGTCAACTCGTACGCTATCCACCTGACTCCCGGCATGTACCTCTCTTCCCCCGCCCTCACTTCTCTCACTCTCAGACACAAGCAAAGAGGGTGAAAATCGTTGTGTTACACGCGCGCGTCCCACGCCTAACAGGAAAAGCCATGCCGTCTCCAGTCTCCCTGTTGAACTTTTCGATAGTCGATAGTTTCCTGCCTCTGCCCTTATCCTTGTGTGGGCTACTGCAAGACTTTACATAAATAAGACACATACGTGCGCCACCCTGCCTGTCCGAAAACATGAGGGCCATTTGAACGCAAGACGAATACCACAATGGTCCTTATATTCCCGTACAGAGTTCTTTGCTATGTTTCCGAACAGAGTGGTACCGGTCTCTGGTAACACTAAAGCCCGCGGATAGGTCGTTTATATGATGTACACAACCAAAGGACGTATGTTGTGATACATCCAACGGATACTAGTTGTTGCGGTCGTTTTCGCCTCTAAAGCAAGTCCCGGTAGGATACGCGTAGCAGCTAACGCTTGGGCTGTCAAAAAAATGTCTACAGCGCATACGTTGTTCACTGGTCACCACCCGAAAAAAAGTCCACCCCCGACACCCTAGGAACATCTGTTCCTGACACTCATTTCGCTAGGCGCCCAGCTAGCCCTTCTCACAACAATATGGGTATGATGACCCGCTCCGTGTATTCCTGCCCCTCAAGCCGCTGTGTTTGCAGTGTTGCTGTGCGTCACCCTCGACATGGGTTCGTTGAATCCCAATAACCATCGTCATGAAATGTTCCCGTCTGTGTGACCACGGGTTGGAGCAAACGGCACGAAAGTGCTGTCAGCGCTGATTTGATGTGGAGTGAAGACAAAAAAAAACAAAATGGTGGAGCACAGCGAATTTGGATGTTTGACCACCCCTGACAACAACACATCCCAGAACAACTAAACCTTTGTCTGCAATCATCTCGCTTAGAGCGCTTTAGCCGAAGGCGTGCCGTTTTTGCAACACAATCAAGCAAGCGGGGGCAAAGGGTCCAGCGTGGTGGAATCGAAGCGAAAAGCAAGCATGGAAAAACGCAAGTCCAAGCCAAGAATGAACAGAAATACCTCTTGTATACAACAGCACCAAAACATCTTCGGGCCAGCCTGTAAGCGTTGTGGAAGGAACGTGCCCGTGACATCTGAACTCGATAACCCTCAATCAGCA